AGCTCTTCATCTTCCCATAACTTGTAAATAATAACTCGCAGCGCAGTAACTCGTAACAGGAATGGAGCTTTCACATTTGCATCAAACAATTTTCCAAATGCGCCGGCACCTTTGTGTTTTGTTTTTGACCATGCATTCTTTGATAAAAATTGTTTGCTTGGGTGTGTACTATCACTTCCTAAAATTTTGCCCATCTTTTTAGAATCACCCTGTATAGGCTTGGTGACAAGGCCCCAGAACTTTCAACCTGATTCTAGACAATTCTTGTATATCTCCATAAATATTAGTCCTATTGCTTCTTAAGTGGAATTTTTAAAACTATCATTTTGTCACCAAAAATATGGCCAAGTCAGTAAAAATGTCGCGAAACCGAGTTTTTCATAAGACGTTATTTTCTCTCTAAATTACATTAGAATTACACTACTTTTTAGCTAAATTTTCTCATAAAACTGTTACTGTAGTCTGTTGGAGATATTTAGCCTCATAACAAAATGATATTTATGCAATTATATACGCAAATACAAATTCGTAATAATACTAAAGAATCTTAAATAAACTTGTAAAATATATCAGAGATTTTATTCATGGAAGGAGAGAAAACTAAAAATTTAGCCATTGAGACTTGGTCAGCAAAAACTTGATCAAAATATTCGAACAGAAAAAAAAAATGAATCAACACATTGAAAAGTTAAGGTGATCACTCAAGTAATAAAATTTTAATGAATAATTTCACTTCCCTTAAAAAGCATTAAATTTTTATCATAAAATAGCTAGTGAAAAGTAGCTTAATTAATAATAATAATTATATTAAGCAAACTTAATTTAAAAAAAATTTATCTGAGCTTTTGATTGCCAAATTAATAATGTCAGGATTTTAAAAACTATGTGAGAATCCATAGTAACAACTTTGGAAAAAGTGAGTGACAACACTTAGTAAACTTAAATAATTAAAAAACAATGCAATTTAAAAAATATGTAGAAGTCTGCAGTAATAACTCCTGAAAAAGTGGGAGAGTAGTAGTGTTTTTATAATCCAGAGTCGCATTATTGTATTAAAAATATAAGAATTTTAAAAAAACAAGTTAAAATTCAAAGAACTCACACCTTACAAAAGGAAAATTCTTCCATTACTTTTAGAAATCTTACAGTAGACTTGAGAAGGACAGTATTATAAATTACATCTAAAGCCATTGCACATTATAATAATCCAGCCTCTTGCATTGTTTTTTTAACTTATTAACAGGGCCCGGGGCAAAAACTTCTTTGGAGGCCCCCCTCTACTTCACTACTTCAGTAACGAAAAACCGATCTTTATGGAGGTACAGTAGGGAACCGATTATCCGGAACGGTCGGGATCAACGCTATTCCGGATAACTGATTTTTCCAGTTTTCTGAATCGCTACAAAAAGTCGTTTTTTTTATTGTTAAACTCAACTAAAAAAAAATATATATTAGGAAATAATCTTAAAAAGAAGAAAAAACGATGAAGTAATACAGTAATGATTATTTCTAAAAAGATGGTATGGTAAACATCTTTCAAAAAAGAAAGAAAAATCCAAAAATCTTATGAGGAAAAAAAAAAAAAATTTTTAAAATGGCGGGAAAATTTACTGAATTTCGTTCCGGTTTCTTGGTTTTCCGGTTTTCTGATTTCCGGATAACGGGTTCTGTACTGTATTTAAATTTTCACCTCATTATACATATATAACAAGAAAATTAACTTGAACCTAAAATAGCTATAAAGTCCCCCCCCCCTCCAATGGTCAGACGAAATATCTTTGTGTCAATTTTACTGATTTCCTGACAATTCTATGTCCATCATGCTGAATGCAGTTTTCTGATTGTTAACTTTGTTATCTAGCTGCGAAAAATTCTTATGCTTGCTGACATTAGGGAGGAAGACAGCTCATTTTTGCAGTTATGATGGCTCAATTAATCTAATCAGAAGCCTGTATTTTTGTAAACATATCGCACTTTGCGATGTGTAAAAATACTGGCTTTTGATTGGCCAAATTTGTGCATAGTAATTGCGAAAATTTAACTGAATTCTTCACTAGAAAGTCATGGATTTACGAAATATAGATATAATGAAGAAGCTAACATAAAACTGATGGATTTTACACTGTACTTACATTTTGCTTAAAAATATGTTCATTAAAGAAGGAAACCTAAAATAAGCTTTCTATTCGATTTGGGGCCCCGAGGCAACTGCCCCGCATACCCTTGCCTTAGTCAGGCTCTGCTTATTAAGTGTATTTGTTTATAACAAGCTCGCTAAAATGACAATTTCATCCATTATCAGGAATTCCCACTACAATGAACTTTTACTGTAAGCATTACATCAAACAACATTAAATGTAGGTAATAATTCAGTTGTCTTACCACATTTATTTAGCACCTTAAGATGTTTCTCAGCCATCCTTGATATATTTAAAATTTTAGCATGACCAAGAAGAACTTCCTTAGATTTTCAAAAGCTTCTTGATTGATTCAATCAAACTTTGATAAAATTGAAGGATCCAACACTCTACTAATCTAAAATACAGAGAAAAAATTTTTTAGTAAAAATATCCCGCTAAAAGTCTTTTTTACACAATTACTGATTGTAATACATGGTTCTGCACAACTAATGAATAATATAGCAAAGATGAGTTTAGCTTATATCAGTAGTAGCATATTTTGGCTCAGGTCTTCTCGTTGAAATTAAAATGATCCTCCGCTTTCATGTTGTCAGATAGTAATAGAAATCTTATAATGACTATTTATTCTTCATCACATTGAGTAAAAGCCTAAAATTATTTGTTACAACTTTATTGCAGCAACCTGTAAAACAGTCTTCAAACTGTTATTGATACTAATGTGTGCAATTAGTTGTGGCAACAGGCACTGTGGTAATTTTTTACGCCCCCAAAAAGGAGTCAAAAGAAGGACAATATCAACAGTTTATTTTTGGTGACTGAATAAAGGAGATTCATTTAAATTTTTAATTACCATAGTGAAAAACAAAAGATTTAACCTAAGTGGGAAGAATATTTACATTTGCTGAGACTGCCTCATCTCTGTCACATAATTATCAAGTCATATACAGGGTGTCCCAAAACTCATGGTACATAGGTGATAGAAGAAAACTAGATAAGTACAAATTTTCATGCAATCTGCGGTCCGGGAGCGAGTCATAAAGCGCTAAAATACAAAACAAGCTGAGTCGTGAAATGATGGGGGAAAAGTTAATGATGAGACAAAAAGTAACCGATAAAATTAAGAAAAAAATATTCTATTGAACAAAATGAAATTAAACAACATTGGGACTCCCATCACAGGAACTGCGTGATAAAACAGCTGTCAAGATTAACAGAGGCTTTTCACCTCCAAAGGAGTGGCCGCCGTACGTTGGCAGAATCTCTAGGCCAGGGGTGGCGAACCTTTATACACCAACGTGCCATTTTTTCCAAAAAATTGTTTAATGAGGTCATAGACGTGCCGTCAAATAATTTTGCCTTCGTGATTATTGGGAAAATAATAATGCTAAATATTATCAACTCAAAACTCTTTAATTACATTGAAAAAAAAATATTTGCAATGTCTCAGTTATACGCGTAATTCAACTTAAAGTAACATCAGTGTGACTTCTGTTGTTGCAGATTAGATGACAAATAACTTTAATTAGGTTGTAAGATGTTAGTTTAAGCAGGACTGTTTATTTTTTATTTTTTTTGTTATTTATTTATTGTTAGCTTGTTTTTTATGGTTATTAATGGCTTTTTTAGCATTAATTGTTAATTTTTTTCATTAATTGTTTATTATTTTGCGAGTTTTTTGTGAATTTTAATTTAATTGTTACATATGCTTCATAGTGTAATAGCATTTGAGTAAAAACAATTCATAGTGTNCACCCTGTATACAATTGCTTTTCATAATTACGAACTTGGAATGGAATATTTTTAACAAAGTGATAAAAAAATGTGAAATTTAAACGTTACACAGTTTTTAGAAAAACGGACTAAAACTTATACTTTATGGGCTAAGCAAAGTAGCTAAGCCAGAAAACCACAAACTTTGTCCATGTCCCAAGAAAACTCTACACAGGGTTTTTTCTTTTTCTTTTAAAAATTTTTGCAAATTTCCTTTGGCACTTACGCGGCTATAGTTGGCATGAATAGATACCAATGTAGATACTGGAATACATAAAAATATACTGGAATACATAAGAAATACTGGAATACATAAAAAAAAGTTGTTAGGAAAAAATAGTATAACTGCTAATATCCTTAAAAAAATATAATATTATAAAATATTACAAAACGCACATTTTTTGACAAATAATAAGTAAAAATTCAATCAGCGGTATTCTTCTAGCTTGCATTTGAATTAAAAAAAAAAAAAAATAAGAGAGAAAAATGAACTAAGGTACAAGAACATTAAATTTTTTAAATGTTTTCAATTTACTGAAATACAATATAATAATTAAAAAAGAAAAAAATAGTAATAACTGCTAAATAGAAAAATTGGGAGCATTTCTATTAGCAGAATAAATATTAAAAATATAATAAATAATGCTATGTTTTTACTTCTGTAGTAAAATATTTTTTCATTAAGAAATTTATCAGTTTTTCTATAACAGTTATCGTTAGAATTAGCCACTAATAAACAAGAAAATAGGAATAAATGTAGGAAAATTATATACTCCTCAATTATAACAATAAATTCAAATTTCATTAAACATTTTGTAATAAGATTTTGTTATTGAACCACCAAATTTTCATTTTATCAAAAGTTGACACTTTCCAAACGAAAACATGAAAACACAGCTGATTATTGCAGTAGAGCAGCAAATGAAAAATGTAGTTCGTCAAAAAAACGTGATTATTGAAAAATATATGATTTATAAAAATACTTTTATGCAAGAAATAATTTTTAAAAACTAATTTAAAATTGGTATTCTTTAAATTTACTATTTATACACTATTTAAGTCATTTATTTTTTACTTTGAGGTTGTGGTATGGGCGCAAGTAGATATGGTAATTCATGTAATGAGGTGTTATTGAGCGCATTGTGCTGAGGGTGGTTCATGTCTGAACTCTCAGCTAATGATTTTTTCTTCAAATGACGTAGATTTATATAAATAATTTCTATTCATAAACCTGGAATTTACTTTTTTACTATAACTGGACTAACATTTTGTACATTATAATTTATTTATTCCAATCTATTGAGGTAAACTTTTCGATTAGTCCTGCTATAAAGGTTAGTTTTATATATTTTTTCACTTTACTGCCTCCTATACGAGATAATTATAAAATTTGCTATCTTGTGATTGCATGTGATGTATGCCTGAAATGAAAGCACCCATTTTTACAAAATTCAATGTAATAAAAGTTAAATACCTCGAAGGCTATTTCCTTTTTGTTATGATCATACAACTGCGTTTTAAGTTGAACTACTGCCTAAGCCTAATATTTACAATAAAGTATATTTTTTTTAGTTCTCGTAATTAAAATGTTTGCGAAAAATATTAAATTTCTATTGAATCATTAAACTTATTAATCCTTACGTTGCACTGATAGTAAGGCTTCAAAAATTGTTCACTAATTTAATTATTTTCCTTTGTGTATACTGTAGCTCGTCAAAAATTAGGCGGAAATAATGCATACTTTCAGTCTTGCAAACAATTGACGAAGTAAATGAGCTCTAAAAACATATAAATATATTTTTAAGTTAAATATAAAGGAAGGATTTACTTTCACTCTATACATTATGTTACCAATAAGTACTTTGTTTTGATAAGTTTTAGTCAATTACTTAGATGTGATTTCAAATATTTTAATTTACTTTTCCTTCAATAAAATTTAATGAAAACTTTTACTTAAAGCTTTTATTTTCTATTGTATTTACTGAATTAAAGGTAAGAATATTTAGTTCTAAGCAAATTGGTTAACTTAGATAAGAAAATTAACTTGTATTTACTCTTAATGAGTCATTGTATTGCTAATGTATTTCTCAATATCCTAATAATGCCAGGCTTTATATTCTATTAATACCGATTTCTTACTTTTGAAAGAAGATAAATTCTCGAACTATTGTGTATAGTTTAGTGAAAATTACATATGGTAAAATAAGTGTATCTAAAATTATCAATAGTTTCTTATGAATATTTTGCATACATTAATCTGTTCTCTTTTTTTTTATACTACAAATGTGTACAAATTAAATTCTGAAAATGTAAAGATACCTATTTTTTTTTTCTTTTTTTAAGTTCACATTTGTTTACTTATAAAGAAAGGACATACTAGCTCAACACTACTTGTAGATAATCTCCTAGTTTTAAAATGTAAGAGCAATATTGTGTGGCTTTTTGTTTTTAACATAATTTAAATAAAAAGTGGGCATGTTTCTTTTTTTTTCCATTCCAGATATCTTTTTAATTTGCTTTTCTTAGAATACTAGGATAATTAACTTTTTTAAAAGATAATGTTTATTATATTCAATTGTATCAGTGTTTTAAATCTGATCTAATTCATATTTTAATGACTACTTAGTATTAGTACTTATATTATTAATGTATTTCTTCTATGCATGAACTATTTATAATTCAAAAAAATTAAATAACTGGTATCGAATTGACGAATTATTGTGTATTTAGGAATCCTTTAGGCAAGGTACTTTCTTTTTCATTTATTTTTATATTTAAAAGTTCACTCTTATCTTTGTTTTTTAAAAAAAAAAAAATAAGTTCCAAAAATATATTCCTTGACAAAAAATCTTAGATTGATCATTAATTATAGTAATGTGTAAATGATTTTGTCAGGTTGTTTCAAATTAATTTTTTACAAGCATTTTACTGTTATTTTTCAGCACTCGAATTATCATTTTTAGGAATCTAAACATGAGCACATTATTTCTAAATATTTTAAGAAATCTTTTTAGCTATAAATATTTTCAGATACCTATAAATATTTTCTGGTGTTTATTTTTTGTAAGAATAATTTGTTTAAATCAAAATACCTTATTAACTCTAATTTGTTCATTATGTGTTTTTGTGAAACCAAAAAAAAAAAAAAAAAAAAATTTAAAAAANAAAAAAAAATTGTTGAAAGAAAACAAACAAAAGAAGCCTACCATAAAAACTGATTAAAAGAAAACAATGACAAATGGTAGTCTGAATAATTTATAGAGCATGTCCAGTGAGGTGTAACAATATGTTCCAATGGTTGAACTTAAGCTTCTAAAGATAGCACCCAACGGCTACTACATGGTAACCAGTAAATTTTATATACTCTAATTTTTTTCTTCTCCTTTTTCATCCTAAAGACTTATTTAAAGTGATTATGCCAAAACTAAACTAATTGTAAACTGTGAGGTTTGAAAAATTTTTCTGCTTTCAAATGGACAAAATAAGTTTATTGCTTTTTTTTTTATGAATTGCCTTTTTTTACTATTTAAAATTGTATATATTACCATTCTCATTTTAATGAGAGCAATAAAAGTGTTTTTTGCCTACGTTATTTGTATTTCTAATCTTAGGCATTTTCTTGTATGATTTTGTGTAAGCAATGAGGTTTTTTATCTTCAAAAATTGAACTTCTGTTATTAATATAAATTCTTCTGGTTTATTCTTTTTATTCATAATTATTTTATTTTGATTAGTTTTAATGATAATGATAACCTTTTAATATTAAAAATATTAATCATAAATATGAGTGAATTAATTTAAAAACATTTGAATTTAAAGATGGTATAATTGGAAAAGATTCTGAAGAGGATATCGATTTTCCAAGAGCTGTCAAGTCAATAAAGAAGTTTGGTTATTTAGTTCAGTACCTACATGTCCTGAACTAAATAACCAAACTTCTCAAACTTTAAATGTATAGAATTTAAAATTTTCATCATAATGTTTAGTTACTTAAATCTTTATTTGAAAGATATCTCTGGTTTTCAGACCTTGTGATGGCAAATAGAGGAGGAGCTCAAAGACCTAACAATTCATCACAAGGCAAGATATGTCAGTTCAAGCTTGTTTTGCTTGGGGAATCTGCTGTAGGCAAATCTAGCTTAGTGTTAAGATTTGTTAAAGGACAGTTTCATGAATACCAAGAAAGTACAATTGGTGGTAAGTTAATTCTTGTAATATTAGTTTATATAGTAGAGTATATTGAAGTTATTATTAACCTTTTGCTCTGCACTTAACTACATTTTGATTAATATGATTTCTCTCTTGTTCTTAAGGGACATAAAGGAGAAAATATTCTTGCAAATCTCATTATGTATATTTGTTAGGTCTGCTTTTTAGAAATAAAGCTTTTTATAAGAATTATCACAAACTTGTAAATAATATATAACTAGATACCTACTGCTCGCTATCATCTGCTAGTTCTCAGAATGGCTTCTCTTTTTAGTTTTTCACTCACCAAATATTAGAACATAACTATCTCATATTCTTGTATGATCAATATTCTGTACATAGACCAAAACTATTTGACCTTTTGACAGAACTTTGAAAGCAAGCTTATTTGACCCAAATCATTGTAAAAAGTATTCTATATACAAAAGCTAATCTCTTAAATATCATTATTAAAAAAAACTACTTTAAGAGAGCTTAAAAATGATTAAAATCTTCTAAAAACTATCAAATTTGATGGAATTAAGTTAATTAAATTAAGATGGAATTGTCATCTAACGACATTAAATTACCATTGAACGTGATGAATTGAACAAGTCCTAAAGTGATGCTCATTTGTCATGATAGCATTGTATTAAATGATGGTCGCCACTGAAGCTGAATTAAATTTTTTAATATTCACTTCACTACTGATATTTTGGTAATTGATGCAATATTTTTAATAAAGAATTCTATTGCAGCAAAAATAGTGCATTAATATTTTAATGAATTAGATTTCAAAGGAATTTTTTAACCATTGTTTTAAATAATTTAAACAGTAGGTATATTAAAAGTCAGATAGAAAAATTGTCGTGTTTAGTCCTTATAAAAGTTATGAGAGTATTTATTTTTAAAATTTTGGCTTTTGCTTGCTACAACTGATTAACATATTTCATGTGAAACTCAAATGTTCAGGGATGCATAATAAGTATAAAATATCGGTATGAGGTATTGGTATAATTGATAATTATTAATACTGAGCAGTTTTCATATAGATATTGTGGAAATAGGTACCTTAAATTACAACCACTTTGAAAGCGATAAGTGCAGGAGAAAATTGCTTGATAGTGGTTCGACTAGCTACAGCATCATGCCAGGTTGTACTAAATAGAGTTCATATTTATTTTTATGGGATGCACTACAAGAAAAAATGTATTTTTCTTAATCTCATGATCTAAATCTACCACGACGGACATAATTATAATTAAATAATTAGAATTAGTTTAGCTTTATTAATTGTGTCTGTACTATATGCCTTGTAGTTTCCTGCATGATTTTGTACTGTCATTTAACATTGATTCATTGATAATTTAATTTTTTTTAAATTTGCCCTGTAAGAAAAATGGGTATTCAGCCTTGTATAATGATGTAATTTATTTTCTCAAATCTCCTTAATGTAATTTTATTAATAATGTGCTGCTCCAAATATAAAAATTAATTGCTATAAAAAAACAAAAACAAATTTACTTGCCTCAAAACACATTTTTTCTATGCCAATATCGTTACATTGTTTCAACCCTGCTATTTTGTAATTTAATACTTTCATTTATGTGTTTTATAAACTTGCTTTTTAATACATTTTATAAACGTTACTTGTTTTTCTTAAAAATGAAAATTCTTTAAACTTTGAGTCCAATAATAAAATTAAAAAAAAAATTTTTTTTTACTTAACAATATGAATATTTGCTAAACATAACAAGGCATTAAGTCTTTTCTTTATTTGTATTTCATGTATTTGTTATTTTTTTAAATTTTTCTTTTCTACTGTATAAAATGGGAGAGATTTTATTACTTCTGTGAGTTGCAAAAATGAAATCTCTATTCTTATCAAAATTTATCTATTTAAACAAAAAAATAATTTACTGCCCCCTCCCTGAAGTGAAATTATCTCACTTCTGAAAATGAAAATTAAGAGCCGAGTTGCTACTTTATTTTTCTTTTCACTAAATATCAATGAGTGTAAAATAGCTGTTTAGATATAAACTGCTTACAAAGTATAACATTTCTGTTATTTTTCAGCTGCTTTTCTAACACAGACTGTCTGTTTGGATGACACTACTGTAAAGTTTGAAATATGGGATACTGCTGGTCAGGAAAGATATCACAGTTTGGCACCCATGTATTATAGAGGTGCTCAGGCTGCAATTGTTGTCTATGATATAACTAATGTTGTAAGTTATTTATGGCAATGTTTTTATTTAAAACGAATTGATATATTTGAAAAGAAGGCTGTCTTTAGATAAGTAATTGAATTGATTAAAGAGAAAATGTCTAGTTTTCGTTCATATTCTGTAAATAGTAACATGATAATTATATCTAAGATCTTTGTTGTCGCATTTTTTAATTACTTACTGCAAGTATAGTGATTTTCTATTACTTCTATTATAAGAAATTCTATAAAAGTTGTAAATACTGCAATATTATTAGTTGTTTGCTAGACAATTTTTTTATTTCCAAGTAAGTTATGAGTATTGCTCTTTTAATTCAAACAGTTGTCTTTTGGGCTACTAAAAAATCTTTATTCGCTTCATAATTAAACTTTATTCCACATCAAAACATGTGAATGATGGAAACAGAAGCAAAAAAAGAAAAAGGTTAACAATAAGCAAAAATGAGGAGAAAAATTAGTTAAAGGGTGAGGGAATCAATAGTATTTCAAATAAATCATAGCAGTATATAGTTCTGCAGCTTTGCAACGGGCATAAAAATGTATTTTGATACCTATAGGAATGGAAATTTCTGCTTTTTTGTGATTTTTTTTTTCAGACTTAAACATGGTGCATAGCATTTTTAAAATGTGCTTAAAGGTGTTTATTTTTGTTTTTTAAAAGCCCTTAAGGGTATTTTTTTCATTGGGTGTCTTTGAAAAGTGCTTAATTTTCCTTTTTCAAAAATGAGATCTTTTTACCATGTTAGATTTTTGCCGTGTATTTTGCAAAAGCGTGCTTTTCACATTTTTCTATCCAAAGTTTTACAGTTCATTCAACCACAATCTATTTCAGCGTACTGTCAGTCTATAGCTTATGAAAGCGCCAATCATTTTATATGTTTTGTGAAAACTTGCGAGTCTGCATGTGCGTCTACTGAGCTGGGTTCGGGGCGATAATTGCACTTCATGTTGTACTCTGCTGCATTTTGCAAGATGTTGTCAATTTCAGGCTTCATTTTCCATCCTCTGATATCGAACAGAAAAATCTCTTGATCATTTTATAATTTCTAATATAAGCCAGAGAAGAGTTCTTTATTAGAAACTAGTTATTTTATCATGATCATGTAGAGTTTTTGAAAATTGTTTTGCATTTTGTTAATGTATATAATGCTTAAAAACATTTTTGAGTGCTTAAAAAGTACTTAACGGTGCTTACATTTTGTCGAGAGATTTGGCTACGCACCCTGTTAACGCTGTGTCTGGTTTTTATCGGTTTTCTGCTGTTATATCATTTGGATTTCACCTAAGCGATATCCAAAGCTCTGTGACTAGAGTGAAATTTCACTACAATTTGAGAAATTTGCTTATTTATTTCTTGTCTTAGGTGCTAAGATTACTTCCGTCAAAACTTCAAATACCCGGTATCAAAATTTGCAGATTTGAGAATAAAACATCATCAGATTATTGGGTGATTATTCAAATAACAGTTTGAAGCTGTAGTTTGTAATAGTATCATACCCAAAAAAAATATCAAGGTTTTAAAACTGTGTGAAAGTCCATAATAATGCTAGTAGAAAATGCAATTGAAAATAATGTGTGGTGAAAACCTTGCATAACCTGTGAATTTAAAAAGGATCTTTTAAATGCCTAATTCCATATTCCCCTTTCAAATCAATATTACATTAAAATTTCAAGATCTTAAAAACCATGTGATAATACATAGCAAAATACTATCAACAAAACTAAGTGGACTTGTGGTTAAAATGTCAATAATCTAAGCAGTGAAAAGTGTAGATCATAAATATTTAATTTCAATGTTTCTTAGCTTCTTTTGACATAGTGTGCACTTATGTTGGCACCTAATGATTGATTTAATACTTGCAAATAGACCGAAATTAATTTGCCATTGTCATTTGTTACCATTTTTTTCTGCATATATTGAATATCATATAAACTGCTTACAAAGAGTTATATCTAGTTATCAATATCCAATGATGTCTTGTGAACTTCGAAATGCAGCATTAGTTTTCATATAAAACTTAACTTTTAAGGGAGACAAAAAAATCATTTTTCTGCAAATATATTTTCACCTTTCCCTTTCTTAAAAGAAGACAGTAATTCTTACTGGTGCATTTGTAAATGTTCAGTAGTTTAAGGTTAAGTTTTATTATTTTTTTTAAATTTTCTATTTGTTCCGAGTACCCAACTTGTCTTAAAATTATTTTTGTGTTTTAATAATTATTTTAAATAATATATAGTAATTTAAGCCATTGGTAATCTGACCAAGAACTTAATTTCTTTAAAGTATTTGTTTTTATAATGTGTAAATTTGGTTAGTTTTAAACTCAACTTATTTATGTACGAATTGCTAGTTTTGTAAATCATCAAAATTTGAGAATAAGTTCACAATGTTAGCTTTAAGAAAAACAAAATTTAAATGTACACATCATTTGAATTTATGGATTAATTATCAAGTTTTAATTTTATAAAAACATAGTGGAAAAAACATATTTAATCAGTTGTAATGTTATTTTATTTTCATAAAGGTACTATGCTCTTGATATAAAGATTTGTGATTGTTTTAAAAAAAGCTTAAGTTAGATAATTTGCATTCCTCTTTTTAATGGAATCTGATTATTTTTTATTAACAATTTTGAGATAACCAGGAAGGAAAAAAAATAACTTTATCAGTCTTCTACTATTCAACAATCAGATAGTTATCAGCCTGCTTATCATTTTATAAATTGCTTCTTCTTTACAATGTTATTTTAATTGTAACTTGTAAATGTATTTGATTTTCTAGCTTAATATAGGTAATCTCAGAATTAAAGGCTGATAACCAAAATTTTTAATTAAAATATATTTGACTTGTATATTTATTTAAATACTAAAATTATTAACTTGTGCAAAAGGTAATTAAAAATTTTAAGTTTTATTAAAATATACAGAGTATCCGCTCACCTGGAAAGTCATGAATTTTGGTATTGAACAAAATTTGTCATGAAATGTCATGATTTTAACTATTTTTTTAAAAAAAATTGTGGAAAGTCATAGATTTAGGTCACCGAAAAATCTAATTTATAAGATGGAATGCTGCCTACCAATTTCACGCTGTTCAGAATGTCTGAATTTCTAACAAAATCCCCACTCACAGTGATATTTTATTAAAATATAAAATGTTTTTATCATATTCCTTAAAAATTTTGGTGTTCTTTAAAAATAAAAGGGAAACCCATAATTTCTAGAGTGAATTATCGTTCAAACTTCTGTGATTTCAGGCTTATTATTATTTGTTGTTATTTTATTTTAGCAATTTAAAATTCTAGCTGAAACAAGCCAGTCATTGGCAAAAAATTTTTATTCCTAAGTGAGAACAGAAAAATCAGGAGTGTTTCTTTTTCTCTGATGAGCAAGAAAAGTATCTTTAGAATTTAATTCTACTGTAAAAAATTTTTTTGCTTTTGTAATTTTTTCAACTATTTTATTGCTTCAACCCTCCTTGACTCTGTTTTTTAAATTTAAAATCTATAAATATGAAAATGCAGAGTATAACAGTTTTGGTTATACCCATCATTTCAATTAATGCTTTTTTGAATTTTTTGTCGGTGAAAATAGTAATAAGCCATGAAAAATGCTTGGAATTAGCCCTGGAAAGTCATGGGTTTGAAAATCTAAAATGTAGCAGATACCCTGAATCTAACAATATAAGCAATTACAAACACAGCTTAAAATTTAATTTATTATGGTTATACCATAAAATTAATGAAATATTGTAAACTGTCTGTTTTCTATGTTAATACTGCGTCTAATTAAAGAATGTTTGTTTTTTTTCTGTATAAGGCTGATTTTTGCAATCCTTACCATATACTTACTATACTCTGTTGCAATTTAAGAATACCATTACCATTTTACCATTGTCGTTCCGGATTTAAGTAATCATCCGCAATTGCATATAGTTAAATTTTATTTCGTTATCAAATTATGAAAATATGCTTTCAAAACAATATAAAAGCTTTTGAAAATTTAACACGTCAGGCAAAAGTTAAATTTGTGCTGTCTTTTACAATATGTATATCATAGAATTATGTAAAAAAGGGTTTGTCTTACTGGAATCCTAGGCATGACATATTTTGATACATTTGTTCGTGAAAAAGTAACAACTATATGACATTGCACAATTAGACATATAATTGGGCCACTAAAAATGGTGCGTTTTATGCTGACAAATCAAATTTCCCTCTGCAAATCAAATGTGAGATAAAGAATTTTTATTTTTACTTTGCTGTAAATGATAGTGTATGAGAAAATAATATTTATTATTTCATCAGTTTTTTTTTCTTAATGTGGCAGATTTGTTGCGATTATGTTATATATATATTTTTTTATTACTTGTTATTTGATTATTTAATAAGTTTTGTTTTCATCATTTCGCACAAGCAAGCAAAAAGAAGGCTTTGTAATGTCATTTTAAGATTTGGCAATGTTGATATTCCTATGCTCTGGGAACTTGGCATCCATTTGGATTGTACTCAGGTGCAAACAGGCTCTTTCCATTGGAATAATGCTTTTTTCTTAACTTGCAACGGAGTAAAGTGATTTTACAATTTTAGAAAACAAGCTTCTTTTTAATTGTTTTTATTATGTATAGTTGCATAATTGTAAAGGATATATTAGAGTAATAAACTGGTAACATTTTCGTTGAATTGATTTAATCTTTTATAGGTTCATCCTTCCTTTTGTTCTTTAGATGATGTGATTTATCTTATTGTCAGTTAAATTACTTTGCAACTTTTTATTGCAGGATACTTTTAGCCGTGCTAAAACTTGGGTGAAAGAACTACAGCGTCAAGCAAGTCCTAATATTGTCATTGCATTAGCTGGTAATAAAGCAGATTTAGCTGCAAAAAGAACAGTTGAACATGAGGTGAGTTTCTAAAATTGAATTTTCTATCTTATAAATGTGTTAAACACTTTGTAAAACAGAAGTTTTTGGTCAACCGAAATTTCACTCATCAATAAGTTTTTTCATTACAAGAAATAACTAGTTTTTTGGAGGTATTTACTGGAACTTATTGTAATGTTTCTGCGTCCTGCAACCGGCTATTATCTAATTTTCACTTTTAAATTCTTGCATCTGGTTATTATTACTACCATTAGAGTAATTTAAGAGAAGCAATAGAAACTTAGTTTAATTTGCCCCCCTTTTTTTTTCTATGTATCTATTAAGTGTGCATGTTATTAGACAATGAAATCAATAATACTTTTGGTTTCTATGTTCAGTGCATAAAAGATTTTTTTTTAATTTTTTTTTTTGTAAATATAGTTGCAAATGTTTATTTCATACTTTTGGCATTTAGATACTTTGCTCCTAAGATTAGTATACTGCCATTGTGTCTTGGAATTTTTAACTTGCTTTAAAAAGTAAACCCAACTTTTTTTTTTAAACAGAGATCAGTCAATTTTTTTCTCTCCCATGTATAAGTATCACTTGTCAAGTTTGGAATGTTCATAAGAAAAATGATTTGAAAATGTTTATCTTTTAAACAAGTTTTAATATTGATAATTCACCCACAAACATGCACATTTTCTTGTATTTGAACAATGCAAGCAAAATTAAATATTAATATACTTTACAAAAAGGGGATTTTTTTATAAGCATTGAACTTCATGAAGAAGTAGTTAAAATTTTGTCAATTTGCTTTTTTTTGAGGAGATTCTTGAGAAATTTTGACTTTGGTATAGAGCAAAATATCTTTGTTCTTCTAGAATAGAATGTATTCCTTACAGTAAAATATATCGGGCATGCACTTTCACACTGAACACGATTGTCCCTAATGTGCATAAGAATGTTTAGAGACTACATGTAAAGACTGTTCTTGCATATGCGCGGAGCATATGCAGTGAGAATGCCTCATAGAAGCATATTATTTTAGTAAAGTAAAAACTAATCTTTGCACAAAATTTTTTTAAAAAAATAATAATAAAAAATTTTAAAAAAACATACGAAACCCAAAATTACTCCAAATGACCAAGAATTCCCCCATTAAATTGGAAGATAAATCAGTTTACTTTTAACCAGAGTTGGCAAGTTTTTGACGCATGTCAGTTTTTATCGTGGTTTTTACCGTCATGTCAAAAACCCATAGTTTTGGTAAAATAGTTTATAAGTATTTGGTAAAATAATTTTGAATCTTCTCGAATTTTGGACTCATCCATACTAAACTTAGAAATCGACTGGGCAATGAAATATGCGCAAAATTAGTCACTTGCTATCGTATGCTTCGGCACAGTGACCCCGACTACTGAACATGTAATTTTGTTTGTAATTAAGCTTTTTTTAATGTGCTTTTTCAACTGAATAAAAGTTTTTAACTTGACAAAATAGCAGTAATTCTTGACTTAGAGTTTGTTAGTAGTTACAAGTTTTGAAAGTTTTGTTTAGCTTATTTCTAATATTTAAGAAATGCCAAATTTTAAATTCTTTTTAGTTCTTGAATTTATTAATAGTTCCAAGCTTTTTTGTTTGTTTATTTATTTCTAACAATTAAGAAGTGCAAAATTTTGAATCCTTTGCAAATCAAGCTATTATGATAAAAGTAAGTATCACTATTTTCAAAAAGTATATTACAATATTTCTGTATGAATGTATATACTACATGTATTCTTATAATGTATATACTTCTATGAGAATACATGTATATAGTTGCAAAATCAATAGCAATCAATTACAACATTCATTTATAAGGGCAATTATGTGAAAATAATATATTATGCGCTATATGCCATAAATGAAAGAAAACAGTAGGTTTTTGACAGTTTTTACCTGTAAAAACACTGTTTTTACCACTGTCATGTCAAAAACCAGTTTTTGACTGCCAAAACCCAATCCTGCTTTTAACGTTAACTATCAAAATAATTAAGAAAAAATTTTATGTAGGCATAGAGAGCTTAAACCATTTGGTATTTAAAAACAGCATCAGCAAAAAAAATTTTTTTTTTCAAAAATGTTTTGACTGATAATGGTTTATAGCAGGGTTGGGTTTTTGACTTCAAAAAGTGGTTTTTGACATGACAAGGGTATAATACTGGTTTCAACCGTCAAAAACCCGTCAAAAATGTCAAAAACTGAAGTTTGCCAAGAAAATATATAAACTTCAAAACTACCAACAGTTGCCATGCATTATATTGAAANAAGGCAATTATGTGAAAATAATATATTATGCACTATATGCCATAAATGAAAGAAAACAGTAGGTTTTTGACAGTTTTTACCGGTAAAAACACGGTTTTTACCACTGTCATGTCAAAAACCAGTTTTTGACTGCCAAAACCCAACACTGCTTTTAACGTTAACTTTCAAAATAATTAAGAAAAAATTTTATGTAGGCATAGAGAGCTTAAACCATTTGGTATTTAAAAACAGCATCAGCAAAAAAAAAAAATTTTTCAAAAATGTTTTGACTGATAATGGTTTATAGATATGTGATGGTCATCTCATGATTTTCAGAAACTATCTTTTTTGAAGATGTAGATGTTTTTATAGTAGGATAAAGTCTCTTTTTTTTTTTTTTTTTTTTTTTTTTTGCTGCATTGTTACATGTTTGATCCTTCAATAAAATAAATACAATATTTCAGTATGACTGGATGTAATTTAGCTGTTTTGTATAAAAAAATTGTAATGCTTAAAAAGTTAGTTACTATTATTTATCCCGAGAATAAAGTTACCCAGAATTCAACCAAGTCACCTTATTTGATGCTTGTTTTTTTATTTTTTTTCCTTTTTTATTTTATTATTTTTTTCTTCTACTTATTAAGATTTTATTACTTTTAGTGCATATCATTATGAAATATATCTGATGACATACTGCAAGAAAAACTTTTCATGATAAATTCTGTTTCACCACTACAACTGGGCTATAAATTGATGCATCATGAAATATAGATTTAATGCATAGATCGACAAGCCGCTATAATGACTTTCGCTTTAGGCAATGCATCAGAAATCTCATTTAAGCGGCCAATAGTGACTTTCGTTTTAGGCGATGCATCAGAAATGTGATTTATGTCGTCGGTTAAGACAACGCTCAATGTTTAACGATTTAGCGTGTGAAGATTCTTGCTTGCGCTAATGCTGTCACCTGGCTGACAATTTTGATTTTTGTCTTAACTGCAGAGACAATGTTAGTTTCGTGATGTTGAATGACGAAGAGCGAATTGAATCAGAACTCCCAGTTTTGTGTGATGATCAGGGTGGAAATGGAACACTATGCATAGTTTCTTTATGCACTATTTTTGTCTTTGGGATTTTAATTTACTTGAAGATTACCTTCAGCTGGACTTACGTTATTTTGTGATCACTGTGCACTTTATTTCGTCAGGAGTTAACGTTTCTTATAAATTATTTATTTATTTTGGCCTGTCGGGCTTTGATTCTTGTCAATTATTTTTAGTAGACCTACTGTTACTTTACGATCGCTGCACAATTGCTGGTATCTTAAATTTTCGTTCTAAATTCAATCTATTAATTAAAAAAAAAGGATTCTTCATTGTTTTTTTTTATTATTATTTTTTATTTTATTTTGAGTGCTACAATTTAATTGGGGTATGTATTTAACTTTGTTATAAAAAGTTTTTTTATTTGATGCACGTAAGCATTGATAGAATTTGATTATTTTCAAACCATAAATCTTCAGTCATTTTTAATTATAAAAAAATTTGTCTAGTAGTTAATATATATACAACTTTTGTTTTTAAATTGAATGAAAAGTTAAGCAATGTTGTGACTTTTTTTAATTAAACAATAGTACTTAAAAGTATTTTTCTTTTTAAATTTTTCTAAAGTTTTTCAATACTTGTTTGTTTCATAATTTGTTAGATAGTCAGTATCATTTTTAAACAAATAAATCCTTAATCGATTTTATTTTCAAAAAAGGAAATAATAAATAAACTTAAATTTATTTTTACATTCATTGAGTATAGAATTTGACCATTAGTAAATACAACTTTATTATTTTAAATAAATAAATAAAAGGTCTATCAATGCTTGAAAAACAGTTTTTTTTCAACAAGCAATTTATAAAAAAAATGTTTTACTTAAGTGAATATTTTAGTTTTTTTTTCTTTCATTTTTTTACTTCTTATTTTTAATGCATGCATGTAAAAAATTTTGTTAGTTTTATTATTATTTTTAAACCTGTAAATCTTAAGTCATTTTTAATTTTAAAAAGAAATTAAAATTAAGCTTGGGGTTGTTTTTATTTAAGACATTTTCGTTTTTGATAGGTTTATTCCTTTTATTTATTTATCTATTTGATTAATTTAAAAATTTCTGATAGATAATTTTTGAGCGTATGCTAAATCCTGATACATCGCCCAGTCCTTTTCACCACTGTTGGTATTTTAAGAGAAGGAAACCTAGGACAAACCATCAAGTTTTAAACGCTGAGAAAATGCTTTCAAAATATCAAAATGCAAATAAGTTATTGCAGTATTTCTTTCCCACTGATTATTATTGTCATAATTTGTCTGCTTTTTCTGTACTTTAGATTTTGAATTACTTATGCAGTAGAATTTGTCATGAAGAGTTTCTCTTGCAATATAGCCTTCTCTTAAATTAATCCCTGTGCTATATTTAAGCTGTTGAAACATTCTATTTTTGTACTAATTTGGTTCTCTATAAATTTTTATATGTGTGTTCAAATATTTTAGGAAGCTCAAGCTTATGCCGATGAAAATGGACTACTTTTTATGGAAACTTCCGCAAAGACAGCTATGAATGTTAATGACATTTTTCTTGCAATTGGTGAGTTCATCCAAGATCCATTAAATCTTGTTTTATTTGATTGTTAAACTATTTTTATTTACCTCTTATTGATTGTAATTTTTGATCAGTATTACAGCCATTTTTAAATATTCAGAATCTTACAGGGCTCGGTATGAGTTACTTTTCTCATTTGATATCACTATCTTAAAAAATAGTAACTTTTATTCACTATTTTTAAGACTTAGTCACTCATCTCACTTTTTTTTTTTCTTTTTTTTTTTTGGCATTTCATTATTTCCTCCTTCATTGTACCTGCGATATTACTGCCAACCTGATCTAGTAAAGAACTAGTCACCCAAATGAGTGTAGCGTAGAAGAGAGTTGAATATAGGATGTAAAATAGAGAAATAGATTAAGATAAACTATTCTTGAATTACAAGAGAGCTGATCAGTGTATCAAGGAATAATTTTATTGATCATCCATTTGAACTCTTAACCGATTTGATTTAACCGCTGTGGAGTTGCTGTGACAGGAAATTTTGTGTAGTTCTCCTTAAATAGGATTTTTTTTATTTATCTGGTTCATGCACGCCTTTAAAGTATTTGAAATTTTTACACAAAAATTAAACACTCTTAAATGTTCTTATTTTAGATTTAAAGTGTTTGAAATTCCTTACCTTTCCTTCAAGAGAAGTAGCCAAATATAATGTTTACTTTGGTGTTATGTTGTTAATTTTTTTTTTTTCTCCAAAAATCTGATTTTAATAAGATGTTATTACATTGTTTGAATTTGAGTAAACTCTTTTTGACCCGCAATTTCACATTATTGGATTTTTTTAATGTCAGTTATTTGGAATTTTTTCAGTTCTTCCTATGTGGTTTTTCAAATTTTCCTGTTTTACTCTGCGTGAGTGTCGAATTTGAGTTATAATTTTAGATGCATCAGATTTCATTCTAAATTTATTTTGTTTTTATAATCGTTTTTTCAGTAATTGTCACATTTTTTTTTTTTAATTTGGATATTTTTAATATGATATTATGTAAAACAGATTTCAGATCTCGGTTACGGCTATTTATTTATAAGTTTTTCAAATTTTTTTCCCCTTTCAAAACCACATATGAGACGAACTGATCATGTGTGCTTGTTCTTTCATTAATATCATTTGAAATTCGGGTTCCAGTAATGACTATTTGTTGATGCTTTACTCGAAAATCACTTTTTGACGAGTTCAGTTCTATCATGATAACCACTTTTTTACACTAAATCGCTTTGCAACCAATTCCACTTTTTTTTTTTTTTTTTTTTTTTTTTNATGGTAGCTATATTAAGCATACCTCACAGTAATGCAGAATGTGAAAGGGTATTTAGCATAGTAAAAAAAAATAGAACACAGTTCAGAAATTCTTTGTCTGATAAATCTCTAGAGGACATTCTGATTGCCAAAACCACGCAAACTGGATGTTGTTATGAGCAGACCTTCGATAAAGGATTCTTAAAAGCAGCTAAGTCTGCTACATATGAACATTTAAAGCAATAATTGTTTTTAATTAAGTCTATTTAATTTTTTTCCTTTTTGTATTAATCTAGAAATTTAATTTTTAAATTGTGATTAAGTGTAAATATGTGTTTAAACAATTGTATAATAAAATACTCAAGATTTAAAAAATGTTTTTGTTATTGTTTTCACAATGAATTTTTAAAAAAAAATAATTTATTCAAAATTGACAAGTGTATTTAGTAACAGATCTTAATTTTGTGTAAAAAGGTCCTATAATAACACTTTCTGTATAACACTATGTCGAGTAAAACACTAACTCAGAATTGTAAGGTCATGCAGATTACAATGTTGGCAGGTCTGCACATATGAGACAAACTGATCATGTGTGCTTGTTCTTTCATTAATATCATTTGAAATTCGGGTTCCAGTAATGACTATTTGTTGATGCTTTATTCGAAAATCACTTTTTGACGAGTTCAGTTCTATCATGATAACCATGTTTTTACACCAAATTGCTTTGCAACCAATACCATTTTTTTTTTTTTTTAAGTAGTTATTTGTCATTTTCTGGCCAGTTCCAAACATTTTACTAATTTTTATACTTTTAACGCAATATTATTTTGTATTTTAGTACCTAATCACTTTCTTCCGCACTAGTTTTGCTATGATTCCATTGTTTAAGTACGTTGTTTTTAGCTAAATTTTTTGCAAAATTAAGTTGTTTAACAGATCTTTACATGTTTTAGACTCCTGAAAAGATCTTCTCTGATAGAAATTCATTTAAAAAAAAATTTATTATTAATATGTATTTACTTTACATGATCGCAATATTTTTATTGTATGCTTTCTCTGCTATTTTAATATAATAATTAAAGTTGTTGTAGTTGAAATTAAACATGCAAAAAAAATTTTTAGATACAATTTGAGAATATTTCTAATGTAATTTTTTTTAATAATGGTTAATTAAAATCTAATTTAGAGTTATATTTGATTTCTCTAACATTTTTAACTTGGATATTTGTAAAGTTATTATGATGTTGCTTGGATATTAACTGTTTTTAATTAAGTCTCTATCACAGTTTAAAAAATTTCAGTCATTTTTTTCACTATTTTTTATACAAGGACCTGTACTGGGCTATGATCTTATTCAGTAATTGAATTGAAGTCATGAATCATCTTTAATTTCAAGTTCTATTCTTTTTAAATAATATTATTTTAGACAGAACTCAAAATTTAAATCATGAAAACAATTGCTCTTTGTTATATTAAAATATGTGCATCTAACATTTAGCCCAATGTAACTAAACATTAATCCAATGGACTAGACTTGAATCACTCATTGAGAAATAAAGATGTTACTTTAATATTTTCAGAGATAGTTAATGTTCATTTTTATCACGTTTATATTAATTTGCCTTTGTGTATGTCTGTTCGGGTGGAATTTTGTAATCTATTTTAAACTAACTTCCCAACTAGCCACAGACTTTAAGTTTGGCACATAGTTCAGAATTGGATGACAATGCATGAAAATGAAGAGAAAGAAGACATGCCAAATAAAATAAAATTAAAGAAAAATTAGTATTTTCGCGATTGTCTTTTGTTGTCGATTCGATTATTTCAAATTAGTGTCACATGTCAGTTGAAAAGTTTTGCGTACAGTGAGTGAAAAAAATAGAGATTTTAGGAGTGATTACAAAAAAAAATAAAGATAAAAAATAATATTTTTAAAAACCATGTTTTTGTAGTGGAGAATAATAATTAAAAAATAAAAATTTGAAAAACGAAAAATGTGGGGCGCATGAAATACATAACAGTACATATACACATTTTCTTACTCATACATATGCACAGCCACATACACATGCATATACACAAACACATTCCACATACGCATTCAGATACAATTACAGATATACATGCACATATTCTCATGAGAACACACTAATTTGACATAACTGTTATGTATTTCATGCGCCCCACGTTTTTCAAATATTTATTTTTTAATTATTATTCTCCACTACAAAAACGTGGTTTTTAAAAATATTATTTTTTATTTTTTTATAAAAATTTAAAAAGTATTTCCTTTTGGCTACGCTTATTTGTTTGAAATAGAGTAAGAATGATTTAGTTATCTAAGGTAAAAACAATAGATATGTGTAAGTGTTAAAAAAAATAGCATTATTAAACAAGACATAAAGTAAATTTTAAATTGCCACTCTACCCACTGAGGCTTTAGCTAATGGGCAAATTTGTGAGAATGTTTCTCCCCAGTACACTAGTTCCATATCTAATTACATGGAAGAACCAGTTTTTTCTTTTTTTCGTTGAGGCGAAGACTGTATGTTAAGAGAAGTCTTTAAATGCAGAGCCATCAGTAAGTTAAAAGAATGCATTTATGACAGAGGCAAGCTGTATAATTCTACGGTAACTGAAATATCATTGGTACACAAAATGTGATGGAGAAAATTGTCTGGATATTTTTATTTTAAGGAAACAACTACACAGAAAATATTGTGTTTGAAAAGTAATGTCATATTTTTTCTTCATGAAAATGAAATATTTGATCTTGAACTATATTTAGGCTTATGTTATTATTAATTTTTTATTATTAAGATTTGTTTTAAAAAAGGAATAGAAAGAAAAATAAAATTTATAAAAATAATTATTTGAAGTAAAAAATAGTTCTAAGAATTGCTTCTTAATTTACAGAAATCAAACTACTATCAAATCCCAATATTTTAACTTTTAGAAGAGGCACAAATTTATAAAACTGTAAATTGTGGTGTTTTTAATATTTTTGTCAAATGCTTAGATCTGTTATTTATTTACATTTTAACTCAAGCAATCTTATATAGTCCGTTGCATTTCTTTCTTTTATTGCTTTAATTTTCACTTTATAGTGATAAATTGTTTAACTTCTACTTTTTTTTAGGTTTGAATGCATTTAGTAGGTTTATATAACTTGAAATATTTATATCCTATATATTTTTAATAAATCCATATTAAACTTGCTGATTATTTATTACAACTTTTCACTTCTGTCCAAAATTTTATCCCCAGTTTCTTGGGATATATATATATATATA